CTCAGCATCATTTGAAGTTTACTTAAATGACCTTAATTTCAATCAATATGTTCTTATTGTGTAATTAAAAGGAATATATCCTAATTAACCATTGAAAATACACTTTAAATTACCAGGTACTATTGAAGAACACAAAAACATATACATAAACTTTGTCCTCTTAAACACAAAAAATTCATTATACTTCCGTAAATTTTTGATGCAAAAATAAGGCAAGATTATGCATTACTTCCTTAAAAAAGATGCCGTTGCTTTCTCAAACAATACATGATAATTAGCAATTAAAAAAATCAAATGAAATATTACCTTACATCAAGAAAATCACCCATTAAAAACACAACAGTATATAAACGTCCAAATCGAAAGAAATTCTGCAAGAAAACACCTACTTTCACAATGAAATGATTGACAATCACGTGATAAAATAGGCGGAGTCCCGCAATCCCGCACCCGCAACACGTCAAAGTGCCCTTACCCTAACCCCACTAACCCCACTATCCCTAATCCTAACCCTACCCTAAACCCACTAACCCCACTAACTCTAACCCCACTAACCCTAACCCTAACCCTTATCCTAACACTAACCGTAACCCTATCCCCCCACTAACCCTGACTTTAACCCCCTGCAAACCCTTACTTTTCGTTTTTTGCTCATATCTTTTGACAGACTGCTCCGATGTCAACGTTCTTGGTGTCGTTGGAAAGGTCTTGAAGAGCTCTTTACGCTGACTCTAACCCTAACCCTAACCCTTACCCTGCACTTGTCGTTCTAGAGAGCAGAAAGTACAATAACAGGCGATTTTCTTTTATATGCTTGCAAACGGCAGAAGATCTTTATTTCGTTATGGATTTTCAAGATCTTGGGCTTGTCACAAAGCTCTTGACAACATCTATCCATAGCCATAACGCTCAGAACAATTAGCCACTTTTCTTGAGGCTTTCTAGAGCAGATATTGCCTAGGTGTACCCACGCTGCATACACAGACATCTTTCAACCCTCGCAACTTTTTTCCTCTTTAACCTCTAATAACCATCTTCCGGTTGTTGACAGAACTTGCCAAGACCTTTTCAATGACACCAAGAATTTGAAAATCGCCTGAAAACTAAGAGAGATACGGACCTTTCAATTTGGCGTCAATTTGCCACCCCTTCTGAGCAGTTTTTGCTCATTTCAGAGAGAAGGATTGAGGTAAGGATTTCAAGACTTACTTTCATGAAAAGAGGAGTTTCCTTTCGTCCCAAATTTTCGACTTCCGCCGACGTCGTCTTTTGGTCCAACTGGAATTACAGAACATTTACTTCAAATACCCATAGGTTGCATGCCCTTGGAGCACTGAGGCTGAGCTTTGGTATGTGGATTCCTTGAAGTCTTCTTAATCTTTTATGTACTGCTTTAGGGCCTTTATCTCGCACCCTTTCCGCGCTTATCAGCCGGAAAAGAACTTAGCGCGGAACGCAAGTTTACCTCGTCTCCGAGCATAACCAGTTTTCTGGGCACTTGAAAAGTACTCACTGAGACCTCCTCAGCAACGTCCAGGTTGTCTGGAGTTGACCATAAAAAACCGTCCAACCCCTGTCTCAGATTTTCTAGGACTTTTGTATATTTTCCGCATGTTTAGTCATTAATATTTTTAGAGGGAGAAAGTATTTCTGCTAACTCTTTGCAGCTTCTAGGAGTCCCTATCGGGGTGTATCACTGACGTAAGTGCGGTGTGTCGATTGCATGCCATTCTCCAGATATGGGAGGTTGAAAATGGTCAAAAATTCTCAATTTGTCAATTTGTAAGTACAATCTTTGGTGTAAATAAGAAGCCAACTTTTCTCCCTTTTCCTGACATCTGGGTTTTATGCCTCTGACTTAGTCATGTTGTCCGTTTTCTTAGCTTTCCAACGACACCAAACTCGTCTTAATCCGACGATAAATAAGAAAGTTATGAGCTTCGGAAAATTCCACTATTTCCTTTACTATTACTTCTATCCCTGACTTTCACTTTCACTTTTACTTTATCCTTTAATCCCCATTGACCTAAATGTTCACTTAAATCCATGTTCATTTTCGTTTTTATCCTGTACCCTAACCCTAACCTAACCCTAACCCTAACCCATGACAGGATTACTTGGCGAGTGTGACCGGTCGGGTCTACGCAACAATAACGGACTACTAAGGTGGTTTAACGCTTTGCTAAATCGTGAGCTGACAGAGAACGTCCTCTGTAAAACGTTTCATTGTTCTAAAGTTAAATGTCTTCTACTCTGATTGTGTGGGATAAATAAACGATTGTCATCAGCTTGTAAGTGATCCGTGGGCGACTACACGTACCATATCAAACCGATATCTTAGAAAATGCATTACTTGCAAATCAAAAGATTATTCTCCAAACCTTTATGTGAAAGATTAGACACCAGTATTCGATCAATTTTTAATAGTTCACGGTCCATATTCTTGGTTATCTAATTTATATACTCATACTTCAAAATTGTAATCCATTTAGAGTACTAGTATATGAGCGATTGAACAAAACTTTAAAGAAAATACTTACATTACTAGGTATAAATAATGTGACAGGAAAACTATTCTTCTCTGATAAAAACCTTCTTTTTTTTAATTACGTAGGCATTGTGATGATGTTTTTGTTCTGCAACTTTGATCAGACTCATAACATTTGAAGGCGAGAAAGAGGGTTAAATTGTGACAATTCGTTGCACAAAGGAAGTACAGTACAACTATATTTCTAGGTCAATTATGTTGCATATCTAAAGCTAAAACTGATACTGAGATAATTTATAAAATTTTTGCTTTGTTTGTTTGTTTGTTGTTAAACGTCCCTCTCGAGATATTTTCACTCATATGTAGACGCGAATGTATAAACTCGTTCATGGAACGAATATATAGAATTTCTAAAGGGAGATAAAAGACTTAAGATGATTATAGAGAACCAGACATCTCTTGGCTTTTAGCAATATTTGATAAAAGAATGTCCTCTTTCAGATCAAAAGAACGCAAAAAATATTTAAACATTGATTTTTGTATGACATGATTGAGGTCATCTATAGGTGAATTTGACAGAAGCATGTGTGAACAAATATCTGATTAAATATGAAGACAACAAACAGCAATCAAGCCCAAAAGTCCATTGGAACAACAAAAATCAGGAGCAGAGCAAATACTGACACACACCCCCAGAACACCTGACGTGAGATTAGGTGCTATGGAGGAGTACACAGTTTTGCCTCTCCTAAAGATTCCTTAAGTGCGCTTAGTCATTTTAAATATAAAAGATTTCTATTTTGAATCCAATCAATGGGAAAATACACAAAAACTCTATCCTTTACTATGCTTATTTTAAGGAACATCAAATTTAAGAATAATTTAAACAGGCTTGTTCAAAGTAAAAAATGTCACTCGTAGGCTCATAAAAAATCATTATGCATTTGATGGAAAGGTTTGGCTATCCTGTGTCCTTCCTTGCTATAGGCGTTTTTCTTCATTATTTTGATAAAAGAACTTGATGCACTTTGTATGATAGGTAATCTTGTTAGAGAAGCACGCCTTAAAGTTTTATTTTTACTCTCTTTTAAAGATGTAGAAAATTGATAGAACGTTTATCAAATTCATCACCAATAGTATATAGATTGAGTTTCTTTGCTATAAAGGCAGTTGTTTTAACACCTAAGTGTTAAAATTCAAAACAATGCTGAGAGAAGTCGTGTTCTTGATGTGTATTGTCTTAGTGTGGTGTCAACAATCCCATTCGGTGAGTATAAAATATTCATATCTTGTCATCCTGAAAATTATTTTATTTAAATAAAATGATTCTTAGTCAAGTTATGGATAGGGTTAGAAGTAGATAATTTTTATATGTTATTTGGAGAAATGACTTGAAACAATCTGCTGAAATTATTTTTACAAACTTTTGTTTTACATTAAATTCAGATATATATACAGCTTTTTATGAATCATTAACATCCATTTCATTTATACCTCGCTTCGATATATCTCACTGAACTCGAAATAGAAACACCCCAGAATCTGACACGTATGTTTATGTTTGAATATTTAACCTACGTAATGAGGGCATTGATGGCAAATTAACAATTTTAACAATTGACAATTTTATTTTATTTTTATGCTTAACGTGATGGCCTTATCTCTTCTATCGTTATCTTCTCTTATGTCTGCAAATGTTGTTTAAATCTCTTAGTTAATTCGATACTCGAGACCATCTGTGTACTATGTAAAATATAACAGTCTTTTGCCAAATCTGTTGATGTTACAGGAGTATCACCATTTAAAATTTCAGATATCTTATAATTAGTACGAGGTTATTGCTTAATCATTCTGTTTGGTCAAATATTTGGTCTCATGATGACTGACGTTCTTTGTACAAATTTTCGGGCCCTTATTACGTATTTATTCGTTATGGGTCAATCCACTTACATGATATAGATAAGTTCTCGGCGGGTGACAAGTCTACAGGGAATGCTTTATTCCCCATTGCACGACATCTTTCCAAGGATTATGTTTTGGATTTGCACTTGATCATTTCATCTTTCTTTTCTTCACAATTATTAGGAATTGGATATTTGAGTTTTATTTATTGTCCAAAAAAATTTTTTTTCAAATGTATCATATATTTTTTTTCTTTTTTTCTTCTTTTTTGCGAATTTTTTCTTTAAAAATTTGCTAATTTAAATCAAATTATTGAAAATAACATTCGAAATTGATTTGTTATATTGAAAGTATATTTAGCAATATGCTGATCACTACTAGTGATGGGGAACGGATAACATTATAGCTGAGCCATCACCAACCAAACATTGAAAAAGAAAGGAATGCAATGATGCACCTGAATTCTTAACATTTGATTTTTAATTGGGATCCTTTACTGACGACATTCAGTCTGGGAGTTTTAATTCTGTATTTAAAAAATGGTAGCAATCTACATATAATTGTGGTTTTTTTATTTATAAATGTCAATCTTACATTTAAAAGGGAGGGCTAGATACTGGTTCTCACCAGAATAGGATGGTTGTGCGTCCTGACTTTTTAAACATTAACAGAAGGAGTGGATCCAGATTTAAGATAAAGGTAGGCAACACGTGATTTTGATAAAGTTTATAGAAAAAATAACTAGGGGAGGGATAGCTAATATAAATGTCAATATCCAATTTAATAAATAAACGCATCTTATCTTCTCCTTAAACATACATCCTTTGTCTTCTTTATATAGGAGGTAGAGGGCGTTGCTACATGTGATCCCAATCCATGTAAAAACAATGGTGAGTGTAGGATACATAATACGTGTATCTGTCCTGTGGAATATACCGGTACTCTATGTGAAGACAACAGTAAGTATAGAATAAGCTTGTGTATATAAGAAATAAATTAAACGCAGGAGCAGTGACTTTAAATTTAAATATTGTAAATGAAGGGTTTTCCAAGTTATGCTTTATAGCTATAATTTGTCATAAAGCACATACTCACTTTAATTTTTTACAATGAATTCTTACGAAGAATTAATCCCTTTTTTGAAAAAATTCATCAATAAATTGAAATATAACGATTCCAGCAGTTTTTAATTTCAAAAATCCATTGAAACAATACAATTTTGGAGCAGAGCAAAACGAATCCTTTAAAAACATCAGGAGCGAGATCAGGTGTCACATATTTTCTTTTCGTGTACAAGTTTTATATTAATTCATATAATTTTAAAAAAAAAAGATCTGCTAATTACGGGTGTAAATAGTACCCATGATTATTCCAACAGAAAATTGGAAGACTTAATCTAAAAAATAAAACAACAAAAAATGCATAAAAATTATCATTCAGATATTCAAGCTCAACTACAAAGGCAAAGGCCCGCGTGGCGCAGTGATTAGAGCGTCTGTTCTAGAGTCGCGGAGTAAGGAGTTGATCCTTACGTCGCGGGTTCGAATCCCACTGTGGGACGTGGAGACCGGTCCTTCGGATGAGACCGTATAAACCGAGGTCCCGCGTCGTAGTAGGTGCTGGCACGAGAAAGATCCCTAACTGCTCAATGGCCGTAAATGCCGAGTATAGGACAAAATTTGCAGCTCTCCACCGGTAAGTGGTGGCGTCTCCATATGAGTGAAAAATTCTCGAGAGGGACGTTAAACAACATACAAACAAACAAACAAAACAAATTGAAGGCAAAGCACGTAATTGTTAACGGATTTTTTCGTTCACCCGATCATGACAAAAACCACATGTCGGGTTTCAACAGGGGATGCTCATTTCTCAATGACACCTGATCCCACCTTTGTTAGCAGATATATTTGTTTGTTCTGTTCACAATGTGTATTGTTAGGTTGAAGTTCGAGCATGATTATTATTAGTATCTTCACATTTCATACAAGTTATAACTATCTAAGTTTGTTTCACAAAACTTAAATATTCAGAGTTTGCTTAAATTGTTTATAAGTTTTATAATTTCATAAGTTCATTTCATAATCTCAGCCGTTTCATGAGTCTTGCCTTGCAAAATTTGATTTTATAGCAAGCATTTGTAAACCAGCCTTTATCACAAATTAAATTAGCAAAGGTAATATTAATAAACAATGAATGTTTAAATTTCATTTTAGATTTATTAGTCAGATGTGGATTTGAGAAAAACATTTGTAACATTTCCGTTCGCAACTTTACAAAAACCAATGTAAGTATATATTTATTCAAGAAGCCATATTTTTCATTTGGAAAATATCTCTTTGAATGTTTTTTGCAAAATGTTTCACTCACATTTGTGGACTTTTAGTTTTCAGTATGCATGTCTTGAACTCGTTCTATATAATTATATAACCGCGTTTTTTTATATCAAAATATTAATCTCACTACATAATGTGCAACTAGTGATAGTATTGATGATTTAAATTAGTGATATAAATGATGATATTAATTAGTGATACTAGTATTGATATTAATTAGTAATATAAATGATGATATTAATTAGTGATTCTAGTATTGATATTAATTTATTTAGTGATATAAATGATAATACTAATTAGTGATTCTAGTATTTATATTAATTAGTGATATAAATGATGATACTAATTAGTGATACTAGTATTGATATCAATTAGTGATATAAATGATGATACTTATTAGTGATACTAGTATTGATATTAATTAGTGATATAAATGATGATATTAATTAGTGATACTAGTATTGATATTAATTAGTGATACTAGTATTGATATTAATTAGTGATATAAATGATGATACTAATTAGTGATACTAGTATTGATATTAATTAGTGATAAAAATGAAGATATTAATTAGTGATACAAGTATTAATATTAATTAGTAATATTTATGATGATATTAATAAGTAATTCAAGTATTGAAATTAATTTATTTAGTGATATAAATGATGATACTAATTAGTGATACTAGTATTGATATTAATTAGTGATATAAATAATGATACTAATTAGTGATACAAGTATTGATATTAATTAGTGATATAAATGATGATATTAATTAGTGATACTAGTATTGATATTAATTAGTGATACTAGTATTGATATTAATTAGTGATACTAGTATTGATATTAATTAGTGATACTAGTATTGATATTAATTAGTGATATAAATGATGATACTAATTAACGATACTAGTATTGATATTAATTAGTGATATAAATGATGATACTAATTAGTGATACTAGTATTGATATTAATTAGTGATATAAATGATGATACTAATTAGTGATACAAGTATTGATATTAATTAGTGATATAAATGATGATATCAATTAGTGATACTAGTATTGATATTAATTAGTGATATTAATGAGGATATTAATTAGTTATACTAATATTTATATTAATTTGACTTTTCTCATTACTTGCGGCTAAATACAGTCCTTCTTAGGCATTCCTGTTCCGCCAGAGGGGAAGTATTATGCCTTGGCCTCCATCTCAGCTCCAGAAAGGAAAAATGCAGCAATGGTAGCAAAGTTACCGCTTAATAAATTAGAAGGTGAATTTGGTATTAAAGACTTAACAAGATTTTGGAAGATAAATAAAATCAAGGATATTTTGGTGACACAATTCATATTTATGTGAACACATTCTTATTCAAATTATGGGCATTTGGGTTATTCTGAAGGTTACATCGGGTATCAATCTATATATTGAATGCATGTATCTTAGGAAAAAATCAATTATCTTCTTCATCGAAACAGCAAGTTAACTTTTGTCATATTGATATTCGTGTAGTGTGGATAAATTTTGGTTAGTTCATGATACCTTGGGGCTAGCATTTGGCTCCAATATGAGGTCAATATTTTTCATTGAATATGGTGGAAAGAAATCCTTCATTACAAACTTCTGGGGAACATGGAGATCAAGGCGGCTCGGGTGTAGGTTGTGGTCCCAAAGCCTCTAGTTAATTTGCCGAATCATGACTTTTCTCATGACATAAGGAACCTGGGGAATGTTTTCTCACAATTTAAATTAATTTAATTGGATTTACTCTTCTCAATTACAGCCCAGTCTGTTACATATTACAAAGGATAATATAGCGATGAATATACAAATTGTTTGTCTTTTTGTTCATTAAAAAATACAATTGAAAACGCGAAGCTTATCAAAAACGTTTTGGATCATTATTTATTATATTGATATGATTCACACAGTGCCCCTAAAAGTCCATTTTAAATTCTGAATTTAAATAAATATCATTCATATCAATATTATCGAATTATATGAAGACGGATTTGATCCATCGGCGCACGAACAAAATTCGGAATAATTAACGTTAGTAACTATTCCAATTGCCTTTGTTTCTCTGATAATATGTAGAGCATGAAACTCAAATTTATAGCAGTTAAACCAGAAAAAAAAACCTAGTATTATGTCTAATTTTCATACATAAAGGCATCACAGACAAAGGATTGGTGTCCTATTTTTTTAAAGTATTGTTGGAATTGAGTTTGCTGCAAATGATGTCAAACACGTTCCCGGCGCATGGTGTGTAATGATATTGTTTTCAAAATGGTTTGTCCGCTTCGGAGGCAGAAAACGATAGAGAAGCGACTTTACACATTATCGAAGAGAAGTTGTTTATAATGGCAAGAGATTCAATGACTGTTTTCACAATAGTTAGATTGATTGATTGTGTGTAGTTTTACGTCCCATTCGAGAATTTTTCACTCATATGGAGACGTCACCATATACCGATGAAGGGCTTCAAATTTAGACCTTTACTCGGCACTTAGGGCCATTGAGCAGTGAGGGATCTTTTTCGTGCCAACGCCTGCCATGACAGGGGGCCTCGGTTTTTTAAGGTCTCATCCGAAGGACCCGCAACTCTCACTTCAAAGTGCAGAGCGCTTGGCAAATGAACAGTTGCTACCTATTTTTATCGACTTAGGTCAGTCGCGGCCGTAATTCGAACACACGACCATCCGATCACGACGCGAGCGCTCTACCGACTGAGCTATCGTGACGGTCCACAATAGTTAGACGTTTAAAAAGAAGGATACTGTTTGTTAAATTCAGATGGTGAGGAACGTTCTGCGACATGATCGACGTCATACTTTGTGTAATCTGTGCTTCCTACAGTACAATGTAAGGCAACCTTTCGAGGACTGAAATTTTACTCTTATATAAACTTTTGGTCAATGGTGAATTTTAATGAGCCGCTCAGACCAGAGTATTTGTCATTTTAAAAAAAAATGACAAGACATGCTTAAGATGGACAGTATTACATGATCATGACGTTATTTTAAACGTAAATCACGATCACTTTATGCGCCGGCGTACGCTTAAATGTTTTTTTTCTTTATTTTTACACTATTTCCTTTTAAATACGTGATTATCATGAAACTTGAAATTCGTGAGTATTGAATGTTGCTTTTTACAGTGATAAGAAAAGAAATTTTATTTAGCAAAGAAAAACTAAATTGATTTCCCTGTCTACGACGTTTTGGTACAACCCTGGTATTATCTATAGACATGTTAAATGAACATGAAGAAAGTGTAATTGATTTATATGCCAAAATAACTTTAGTTTCAGTTTATTAGAGTAAAGAAACATACATCTCATAGACAATATTTTTAATATTTATTAGTGTGTACATTTTAGTACATATAATAGTGAAATTGACATCCGACATGTAATATCATAATGATATTTTCAGTGTATGCAGTGTATATGGCCTCACCCGAAATGTAAGACTAACTAGAAAGAAGTGTCGTAAATTAAGATATAGCATTATCTCACATAAAATCAATTGATTTCAATGTCAGACTGAGTCTATTTTTATGTAGCTACAGAATGGATGCCTTTGCTCGAAATGAAATATTCATAAAATGAAACTTTGAATAAAATGTAACATTGATCGACATATCCTAAAACTGGCACTTTTTTCTTTTTCAAGTTATGGGGAAATCTGTTCGCGTCGATTTTAGTTGTGCTACAATGGGGAGTGCCCTTCTCGACCTTTTGTACCATGACGGCAAAAAGAATGGAACATCTGAATATGCTATGCAGAATGTAACCTCCATTGGACAATGGGAGAACTTTGGCGTCAACCTACCAACTGGAGAAGACATGGTGGTAAGTATCACGGATCTAATGATTTCAATTTCCAAGTAGACAAAACATGATGGTAAATATAATTTCAACGGTCTGATAGTTAGAGAATTGATTTTTTTTTACACACGAGTACTTCATAAAGTTTCTAAAGATATAATTTTGTAACATTATATTTCCGTAAATGTATAGCCTGGTACTAAAGAAAACATTGCAATCAATGCTATTTGTGAATGTCAAAAAAATTGCCGTGCGCCAACCACCGACATTTAACACCCTTAAAATGTTGTTAATAATTGCAAATGGCATTGGAATCTTGTTTCGTTTAGCCAAAATGACAAAAATATCATTTCCAAACATTATGCCAAAAAGGAATAATTTTGGTCAGGTGGTTTATGAAATATTTAAAAAGTTTGCGTTTTTCTGGGACAACCCTCGTATAAACAGATATGCTATAATCATTTTGGGCATAAAATAAACATTTCAAAAATAGTACAAGAAAGCTTGCTTTCATATTATTTTACTAAAATATAGATTTGCTTAACTTAACATAAAGAAAAAAAAGGAGAAAAAATCAGAATATACTTTGAATTTTGTCATTTGCTTACTCCATTGTTAATTTTTTTTTCCCTACAGTATGTTTTCCTTGCTAAAGTTGGAGGAAAGACGGGTCAAGGTGCTGTGGCTGTTGACAATATAAGATTTACCAAGCCAAAAGAAAAGTAAAGTTCACAGAATTCATTCCTTTTGGATGTTCCTAAGGTTAGAACTGTAATCTACGACAGTCGCCGATTTGACTATGCCGCCGCTTTACTTCGGAACTCTTTACCCTTATGTCTTAAAAAAAATCCAAATCCGTCTCCGCTTTTAAAAAAGGTCTTAAAACTCACCTCTTTGAACTTGCCTATGACAGAATGTAAATATTGTATTTTTAGTGATTTATTTACAATTGAACATTGAACTGGTTATAAGGTCTTTTAGGAATTTTGCGTTTAACTCATTAGTACAGGCTCTTTTAAATTTTAAACGTTTCAATAGTTGTAATTTTATAATAGGGTTTTCCGCGCCGTGTTTCTGTACACTAGTAACATTTTATATTCTTATAGATTATAAGGTCTTTTAGTTAGCCTAAATTATTATATTGTATTGTATTGTATTGTAAAGTAGTAGTACCTGCTTATTCTCTTATATATTTATCGTTGAATTTGCTAATAATATATGACGTGGTAAGTTAGGTTTCAACTGCACAAGTAATATTGCTATATACTTTATGTTCATCATATTTTTCCATCTTTAACCTGTGCATACACGTTTTCATTTTGATTGTCATATATCATAAGTATATCAAAAAATCTCTAATTGCATTTGTATTGTTGTGCTATTTTATTTGGAAGAGGGAGTTGTATGAAAAATTTATGCACGTGATGTCATCTGATAACCGAATATGTAATTCGAATAGCATTCAGATCAATATCGCATGTGCGTGTATGTTTGTTTGTACATTGTATACATATAAAAGGATTTGATTTTTCTTTACTTTATACATGTATCATCGGAAACAGATCTAAACAGCCACCGTTTTCGGAGGATAGCCAAAATTCATTTGCCATTTTTTTACCATATATATGTACATGTGCATATGGAATTTGCCGTCCATTGTGGAAGATAACACAGGTCATTTTAAAACACCTCTTGTCTACCTTTAGTGGAAAAGTGCATACACCAGAAAAAAGTAAATTAAGAATTCGTTCAAAAATTACTCTATCAATGGTTTTTGGCTTGAGATTCTATGTCTAATTTAGATATGTTATATTTTATTTTCAAGGTGGCATTTTTATGCCCGGATCAGGGATTTTTTTTTTAATTTCATAGGAGGGAATCCACACCAACTCTCAAAAAATATATTTCTATAGACTCGGAAATTGGTTGACAAGTAAAAATCAAAAGGAAGAAATATGAAATGACTAGTCCAAAATGAAAATCCCATTGTATGCGTGTGCGTGTGTGGTTTTCGGGGGAGGGGGAGGTTTAGTCATATGTCATGTTTTCCGTCTTCTATTTCTTCACTCTCCTTACCAGTACTCAAGAGATCCATGTTTTCTACGAGGGTTTAAAGTATTTTTTTCGCTTCTCAATGTAGAAATTTGATAACTCTGAAAATCCCAGGGGAGGGGGTTGGGCCCGACCCCGACCCTCCCTCCATCCCTGCTTCTAAATCCGCGCAAGGTTTTTGTACTCCTTTGTAACTGTATTTATTAATTTAATTTAAAAAATATAAAGAAATATACAGTTTCTGATGTTACATGATACTTTTTGTCAAGTCCTGTCATTTTCAAATTTATTTTGATCCAAATTTTAACTATTTCCATTTTAATATTAATAACTGTACAACTAAAAGGGAGGGTATTTGAATCCACTGCCCTAAAAATAATTGATTGCGTAGCAAAAATAAATAAAAGAAATAAAAATCTAGGATTTAAAAAAAAATTAAATGCAAGTAGGTAAATAAAGAAATAATATTTTGAATTTTTTAATTACATCTCATTAATGCATGTTTTCTTTTATTCCTTCATAATCCTGTTAAACCAGCTTTCATAATATTCGAGTCGCCCGCGTGGTGCAGTGGTTAGAGCGTCTGCTCTAGAGTCGCGAAGTAAGGAGTTGATCCTTACGTCGCGGGTCGAATTCCACTGTGGGACGTGGAGACCGGTTCTTCGGATGAGACCTTATAAACCGAGGTCCCGTGTCGGAGTAGGTGCTGGCACGAAAGAGACCCCTCACTGCTCAATGGCCGTAAGTGCCGACTATAGGACAAAATTTGCAGCTCTCCACCGACAAGTGGTGACGTCTCCATATGAGTGAAAAATTCTCGAGAGGGACGTTAAACAACAAACAAACAAAAACAAACATAATATTCGAAGATCACTTAAAGCTTAGTTGACTAAGGTAGAGATTGCAAGGGTCCGTGAAAAAAAATCCGCTTTTTCTCATTTTTACATATAATTTGCCAAACGTTAATGGTATCATAATATGAAAATATCAACCATGATCATCTGGGTTATAAGGATGATATGGTTGTCATGGTAACCACAGTTTTTCAATATTTCGACATTTATGTGGTGAGATTTTAAGTATGCCATACAGATATCAAAATTGAAACAAATTAAATAATTTTCAACAGATATTAAATGATATGCTTTATATTCATTGAAAATAAAAATTGTATCGGAAACTATTGATAGAGAAGTAATGCCACAGTTGCTTTGGGGAGTAGTCATTGTAAATTTGCAGTAATATTTTCACCCCAAGAGCAGTTTTCAACGTCTTGACAAAAAATTGCCCAATGAATTTTCCTAAAATTAATATATTTTTTGATAATTATTATAAGTGACTTATGGTTAAAATATGAAGTGCGGTCATCACATTCTCTTTTATGCTACATGCATTTCAATTGACCCCCCCCCCTTCCTAAAATATTAAAGATTTCATAAATTTTAATCTGATGGTTTGTTGCTGAACCTTTAATATGCATAATCTGTTAAAAGACTATAAATAAAAACAATACGTATAGATTGATAAATTTTTTTTTCTGAAAAACTTGTAGTCCGGTGGTTGCTCATTTTATACGTAGAGCAGAATGATAAAAGTATCATGTTCACGAAAAACAACAATATGCACTTTTTTTTTAATTTTCCCATCTCCAAAATATTCATTCCGTTATTATATCAATATAAATATGTACATTCTAAACCAGTGCACAGTCGTCCAAGGACCAAATTGTTCATGCTCTGAACATTCATCGAGATCTCTGCACTGTGACTTGGAATCGTAAAAGAGGGGGGGGGGGGGGTTTAGTCACTTGAACACATTGAATGAAAGGTTATTTTTTCAGAGAACTTGTATCTGCAATATATCCCGTAAATAAAGACACTAGCTTTTATCTTATTTGACAAATTTTAGTGATTTGCTATTTAATATTTACATTTGCAAATATTTTTTCCTTCAGATTCATTGCAAGTTAGAAAACAGTTCATTTTCCCATGAACTAGGTAAGCCTACCGGGTACATATCTCCATTGTGACGTCACTCATAATGCCACACTTGACGTCAAAACTATAGTGCAAACTGTTTTGTTTCAAAAATAATCGTTGAATGACATAAATTTATAAATTTTCGCTTCATGCTCATGCGGTTCATTAAATATGCTGAGGTGAAGCGTCTTTGTTCATGTCCTCGTGAATTTTCAAAAATTAAATTGGTTTTTCAAATATATTCCCGTGAGCATGATGAGCTGAAATGTTTTTTTAATGTAGGCCTATATGCTCAAAATAATTTTCTCTCTCTGGTATACCTAGTACCTCCGTTGTACCTCGATTGTCAGAGTTAACCTCTCTAAATTTCGTCTGTCATTCTTCATTTTGTCAGCCAGTGGATAAGCGTTTTATTATACTGATGTATATCATAATTTATGAGGGTTTAATTAATCTGATACTACAGTGTCGTAGGCAAAGCATGAAAACTTCAAAAGAATAGTTGTAAAGTTTTGAGCAAGAATTTGGAGTAAGATTATAACATTATAAGATTGATTACAGGAAATCAAAATTGGCGGCAAAAATTGCATGAACATTTTCCAAGGGGTGGGTAGCAAAAACTATACCCCGGGGTATAGCTTCGCTATGCGTGGAAATTTTCAGACTATAAAATATAGTTATTTTACCTTCTTAACTTTATATAGGAAACATTTTAACAGAAGTATAATAAAGGCTTATATTCATTATAATCACTGAGAAAATTACATTAAAACAGATAACAGTCAGTGCATCGTGATAAATTTTTTGAAGCAAGCATTACAATAATAATTTTTATCCAATGTTTACCCCTTAATCCGGTGGATATGACTCATTGGATATTTTTTTCATATCCCACAGTTAAGTGCAGTTGTGAAGTCACAATGGTTTTTGCGTTAGCATGATGAAGTAAAATAAAGTGGAGTCCTAGTCCTATATAAAACAGTGTAAAACATTGGTTGTGAAGTATTAAACATGGGATAAAAAGAATCTCCCATGATGTGTAGTTGGATATGACTTTTATCCAACTCGTTGTGTGTTTTTATCCCCTCGCCAAGGCTCAGAGACTAAAAACACACAACTCGTTGGATAAAAATCATATCCAACTACAAATCATGGGAGATCCTATATTTACGTGTTTGGTAGCAGAGATTATCTGAATTAATATTCCATTTTTCGTGTGACGTCACAGTTGTTTCCCCTTACTCGGAAAATGTAAACATGAAGCTTTTACCATGTTTATGTCTTGTTCAACTATGTCCTGTGTGATAATAAAGTAAGCTTCACCTTACGGTATTGCTACAATTAATTACTTCGAAGAAGGACTTCAGTTCAATCGTAAATTTTAAAATATTTATTAACAGATTTTTTTTTCCAAGTGCGTTTTTTGTCGTTGAAGCCGTCTTGAAAAGTGCGTAATTTATCCAGTCCATATACAATTGTGACATACGAAAAAATGCCGCAAGAATTCTAAACACTATTTATATTCTGAATATTTGAAGAGCTGCATGTCCTTATACATATTTTTGGTTTATGCTTAAAAATTCCCATTATGGATTGAATAATGGACTCGTAAACACGAAGAACCGAAACTGAATACAGACATTGTACGGAGCGATATTTGTATGGCGATATCTCTTAAACAAGTCAAGAAATCTGAAGACAGAATTGATTTAAGATATGTAGGACATACTAAATTAAAAATATACAAAATATGAAAGGTTTTTAAAAAAAATTCACATAAAGAAATCACATATAACCCTAATAAGAAAGAATACATAACAAAAACACCAAGGACAGAGGACAAACCATGGTTTGATGATCAGTGTCGAGCTTTATATAAAGATTCAGGAAAAAAATTGGCGTCTTTCAACGTGTCACAATTCATGCCCATTATTGTTTCCATATATTTTTATCAGATTACTGTATAACTAATATTTATTGCCCAATATGTTCTCCATACTTTTAAGCTTGTTCAGCAGGTTTTACTCGGCCATTTAAATCCCCTGCTATTCA